CTGGGCACTGGTTTGGGGGTCCCCAAGGGCTGTTTCAGGGAACTCTGGGCACTGGTTTGGGGGGCCCCAAGGGCTGTTTCAGGGAACTCTGGGCACTGGTTTGGGGGGTCTCTGGGGACTGTTTCAAGGATCTCTGGGTGTTGGTTTGGGGGGGTCCCTGGGGGATGTTTCGGGGGGAGGGTTTGGGGTGTCTCTGGGGACTGTTTTGGGGGGTTCCTGGGGGCCACTTCACAGATCTGTGAGGACTGTTTTGGGGGGTCTGGTTTCCCACCACACTCCCCCCTCTCTCCCCTCACAGAGGGCTGTGGGGCTGACTCATCCTGCGACCAGGAGATGCTGTTTGTGTAGCCCATCCAGGATAGAACCTGCAGGATCCTGTATCCATCCCGCTGTCCCAGCCTGGCCTCGGGCTGGGAACAGACGAGCTGAGAGCTGTGACTCAGCCTGGAGTGATGAGCCTAACTAGAAATAAAACTTGTACAGAAAAACAACCCTAAAAGAAGTCTGTGGCTTTTCTGTTCTTGCCTGGTTTAGGTGCGGTCTCGTGAGGAGAGAAAAAGACATTTTTAGGAAAAGTGGAGGTAAAAAGCGAGGATTTCATGTCAATTATCTGAGGAAGGGAGGGCAGAGGGACCTGTGGTCAGTCAGCCTGGGCTCTGGCTGAACCTAAACCCAGCAGTTTTAGGGCAAAGCTGAGAGTCTGCAAGACCCCAACAACCCAGAACACCCGGAGTCATTACAGTTTGATACATGTCTTCAACCCCAGCTGATGAGTAAAATAAGGCTGAAGAAGGGGAATAAGGAGACACCAAAAATTCCAGATCATCCAGACATATTTTCTCATTCAGCCACACCAAGGGATGTGCAAAGGAGGGTTCAAAGCATGACCAGGGATGACAGGTCCCTCCAGCCCAGCCAAAATCAGGATGAATAATTAAACCTTTCACCCAACAACAAAAAAAGAGGAGGGCCAGTGTTTCCTAAAAATCCATTCAGCCCTCATTTCCCTTCGGAAGCATCCAGAGGGGCTGACAGCACGGAGCTGAGAGCCAAGATCTGCCTCCTGACTGCTCCTGCTTCTCTCCCCACATGCTGTGTGTGAAGGCAGGAAGGATCCAAACACGTGGGAGGTGGAATCACAGGCACAGCAACAGCCACACAGGGCTGGGCCAGGCAGCTGGAGCCTCCAAC